CCTTTCTCCCAAAACATATGAGCTTGGGTCTTGGTTGTGCGTATGATTTCTGGTTTGAACTTTTCTTTTTCTTCAAATTGAAAAGAAATGGTCTTGTGCAGTTGGGTCACAATTTCCTTTGTAGACAGCACAACCTGTGAGTCTGGAGTGTGACAGGTAGGTAATTACAGGAATGCATACATCTTGCATGACACAAACTTTAGTTTAGCTTACAGTAGTTGAGCTATAACGCAGAGCAGTGTAGGATTGCAAGGTGTTTTTTAAGAAAATAAATTTTGCATTTTGTACGTAGCTACTTAAAAAGCCGGAGAGAGAGGAACGCGATTTGGAGAGAAAGGAAAAGTCCAAGAAGCTGGAAAAAGAGAGGGAAGAAAAAAACATTGCTGCCCTAAGTACTGTATCAGCCAAACGATCTGACGGGGAGGCAAAAGAGGAGAAGGCAAAAAAGTAAGTTCTCCAGTGTATATGCAGCATGTGACTTGGAACAAGACTTGTTTCTAGAGTACATAATGCTTATGTTTCCTTATCATTAGAGTTTTCAGAGCAGCACCAGGACCCCCCAGTTCTGATATAGTTTGTGTGGGGTAGTGTTCCCAGGCTTGACCCATAATTTGGAAATAAAAGACAATATCTGTGTTTAACTCCATGGGCAGTCTAATGCTTTCTACCAACTGCAGTCTTTACAGGAGGAGCCCCTACCCTGTCTGGCTGAGGCCTGGGTTAAAGGGGTATAAACCACCTCTGCATAGTCCGTGATCTGCACCAGTTTATAGCAGCTTCTCGGAGCAATAGGAGCTGTTTTGCATTTGCTAGCAAGTGTTCCTTCCTTCGCTGCCTCTGAAGAGAAATGACATGGGGCTGCAGGCTCTGCCCCTGCAGCTAGAGAGTTAGCAGTGCAGGGTGGACAAGAGAAGGGTCAGAGCAATTCCTGGGTTCCAGACCATGTATGCTTCCATAAAGGTCAGAGTGAAGGGTAGATACATTCATATATCATTGGGGAGTATTGTAAGCTTAATTACTGCTGTGTCAGTTCTCCCATGAGTCCAGGGACTGAGGTGCGGAAAGGTTTAAGTGACTTCCAGAGCCGCAGAGGGCACTAGACAGATATGGGATTTTCTAACTCATGGTCCTGCCCGTTGCTGCCTTCATTATAAAGCATGACATGCTACTCTCTCTCTTTTTTTTTTCTTCTTCTTCTCACTCCCCCTCCACTACTTCTCCCCCTCCCATTAGATTTCCCCAGGTATGACTGGGCTTTTCCAGATGTTAACTGTCTAAAATGTACAAGTTGGCATCTAGTAATACATTATTATTATTATTATTATTATTATTATTATTATTTTTAATATATCAATTGACAATTCGTGATATTAAATTGTGAATTCTCTTTTTTAAATCCCATAATTTAAAATGAAAAGCCCATTACTCCCACCCCTCCCAGGCCCTGCTTGGGCCCTCTGCCACCTCCAGCCCTGCTGGAGGGAGTCCCCAGCTGTCTGAGCTATGGAGCCAGGGACCCCTGCCCCCCACAGGAGGCAGCAGCTGCTGCAGTGGACCAGAGCCCAGCTTCCACCTGCCCTGCTGCCTGCCTGCTGTGGGCTTGGGTGGGGGGGCAGCTTCCCACTGCTGCCCATGCTTCTGGGAGGCCCGAGGAAACCTGTGCCCCCAGATCTGTGCGTGGGGTGGGGGTAGGTGCAGGCTGACCTCTGTGGGCTTGGGCTCCCACACTGGTATCCTCCGCCAGGGCCTCTGCAGCCTGGCGAGTGCAGCCCAGTGCTGCAGGAAACAGCAGGGCCATACAGGGATTGCCTCCCCCTCTGCCTCCCCCCCCACTCTACCTGCGAGAGCTTCTCTCCAGGCTACCTGGCAGCCGTGCCCCTTGCAGGCTGGAACTCTAACAGCCTGCAGAGAGCTCATTGCAAAACTGCAAAATCCATGGGTTTCTCTGGTAAAATGAGAAATCCGCGTTTGCTTCTGGTAAAGGGTAAAATCTGCAGCTTTCGCCGTTTCTTTTCCTGTGGGGAGTGGAAACAAAACCCGGATCCCTGATTTATCAGATCTTTTTTAACTTAATTATCTGGTTTTGGTTTTTTGTTTTGTTTTTCTTTTATCCAGGTCTGAAGATGAGTGTGGAAAAGACTACAGGGACCGGGATAGAGACTTTGAGAGAGACCGAGAAAAACTGAGGCGCCAAGATGATGACCGCCGCAGACAGAGAGAGCGCTTTGATAGAGAGAAGGTTTTTAGAAGAAAAGAGGAAGAGGTGAAGAAGGAGAGAGACTCGTTCAGAGAGAAAGGAAAGAAAAGTGATCTTATGGACTTCGCAAGTAATCCTGATAAATTTGAGAGAGCAACCAAAGATGACAAAAAAGAGGATCCAATTAAGAGAGATCGGATCAGAAACAAGGTGCTGGGTCTTTTCTAACTAACATCCAATATGTGTGTTTTATGACACTCTCCTCAAGGGAAGGCTGGATCTATTTATCTCCTTAGAAACTTTTTCTCCTTTATACAGTTATTAACTGTAAGGTTTTCCATGAAGCATAGGGAATATATAATAGACTCTGTCAGCCTTGACACTGCTAAGCTGAACTTGATCTTGGAGAATGTCTTTCCACTTCATAGAAAATGCGTAAGAGTCCAGGTATTATTGGCCAAGTCCTAAACAGAAAAAATCAATCGATATTTTCTAACTTTTTACCAGCAGATAAATGTCAACTTCTAATCTTCTAGGTGCCAGTAGAGAATCAATAATGTAGGACCACATTCTTGCTGATGCTGCAAGTGGGTTCATGGCAGAAAATAAATCTTCAGAAGTGATCTAGTGATGCAATAAACTGCTGGCTCCCTTAAGCATTCTCCAAAGCACTGTGCAGAAGCTGCTCTGGTAGAACTAGAAGAACTGCTAAGCTGTGCAGTTCCTGTGCTAAGCTGCATGCAGTCACTATGCAAAATAGCCCTAAAGCATTTTTTCCTGCCCTCAAGAGTAATGGGTCTCGACCAGATGTAAATAAATCTGTTTTGCAGCCTCTATGCAACATGATGTTTCATGTCCCATCTAAAAGTTTTTATTACTGAGGAAGAAAAGCAGGATGTAAAGTTTTTGGGAAAAGCTTTGACATTATCCAAATATAAGTCAAACAACAGCATTTTTTAAGAAGTCCTCTTTGTGTGAACACTTCCAGTTTGTTGAAACAGTGAGATGAAAAGAGTGTAAGCATACTATCTGTGCCATTCAGCTTGTACCTCAGCCATGCTTTGAATAATTAATAGTCTTCTGAGTAGTCTGAAGTGGTCTGGCTCTTAGCAGTGTTATTGACCTCATCCCATCAAGGCTATAAGAATGACAGTGGTGCTTTGGCTGTTTGACAATCTATTTATGTTCTGGTGTGTTTCAGGATCGTCCAGCAATGCAGCTATACCAACCAGGAGCCCGAAGCCGAAGTCGACTTTGTCAGTATGAAGACAGTGCTGCAAAACCTTCAGATCAGGGAACAGATAAAAAACAGGAAAGTGAGACCAGTAACACAAAAGAGGAGGAGTGATTAGCATATGGCCTTATGTGTTCTGACTGTCCGCGCAGCCAAAGAGGATGTCTACGCAATCCAGAAGTGCCTTCAAAGAGGAGAAGGAATGAAGGATGAAAAGGGGGCTTCGTGCTGTTGAATGTTTCTGGTTCAAGAACCTCAGTTGCAGATTCAGACCTTGAAATGCATTCTCATTTGTATTTTCAGTTGCCCAGATTTATTTTTACAGCATAAGAGAATAGGGGAGAAGAAAACAGTTGAAAGTGGGAGTGATTATTTGTGGCCTTAAGTATATTGATAAACATGAGTTGAAGTCAGGAGGTTGACACCTGGATCTACAAGTGGAACTTTCTTTTTTTTTTTCGTTTTGGGTTTTGTTTTTTTGGTGGAGCAGTTACGAGACCTGTTTTTGATGCACTTATAAGTAGAGCAAGCTGACCTCCTATATTGCTATGGGATGTGGGGCTTGTGCCTGGACCACAATAGTTAACTAATAAATAGTCCAAGAACCTCCAAGAATTATTCTATGGCTGTTGGTGGTCCAGGGAACCATACCCAAGGAACAAGACCCTGTAGGAAGTTTGGAAAGGAGAGAGGCTTCTGCCGATGCTTTCAATTAGGGAAGCAACAGAAATTGATGATCTAAGAGGTTGAAGTGAATGGAGTTGGTTAATACAGGATATTTCTTGACAAACCATGAAGCAATGTTTATTTTTATTCAGCTCTAGCTGTAGAGAGTATCTGATTCTTTTCTCAAGCATTCCCTTTTGTTTTCTGTGTCTTTAAAAAGTAGGAAACTCTTGCCATTTCAGTCTCTGCTTCCTCTTTCTAGATGCACTGGAGTGTTATGTCATAGCCCAGAAAAGAAACATTACCACTAGTGGCTCCTTTTAAGCTAGCAAATTTTAGCCATAGTTATTTTGTACTAAAACCAATAAAAACTGTGAGAAAACACTGAAACTACTTTTGACTTCTCATCTTGCATGTTGCATAGAGCTGGTTTTATATCATGAGCTGTATCTGTGCTATATCAGAAGTTTCCCTGATGTTGATATGCGGGTTAAATATGTCATGAGTTATCAGTAGGACAGTGTCCTTCAAAATTTCCTTTATTTAGCTGGAAGTTATGCTGAGCAAGAACAAAGGAAGCTTAAACCAAGCTGGGGAAGGCTGCTTGTCTGTCTACTGCTTCATTGTACCCTGACTGCCACAAAGTGGAGAAAAGCTTGCTTCTATTGTTTTCCCAGATTTGTGTGTCACAATGTAAAGGAAGAAAATTGATGTAGTATTACCTGTGCTGGGCATAGACTACAGCTGCTTCTCGTTATGCTCTGATGATGCTTACTAGCCATAACAGTCCAAAGCTCTCCTTTTTGGGCCTATTGTAAAGGTGAAGATGTAATAAAAAAACCATAATAAAAAACAATGGGTGGAAGCCAGACAAATTCAATTTAGGAACCAGACATAGTGAAGATGGTTAATCGCTGTGACCAGCTAGCATTGGAATCGCATTTGCTTCACCCTTCCCGACTCTGGGACATCTGCTTTAGTGGTATGCAGGCTGCTGCGGTTTGTTAGCAGCGGCAGCTGTACATGGGCTACATCGGTGGTCTGATCATACAGTCTTGAAGTCTCTGAGCAGTCCCTGAGAACAAATATCTGCCTGCAGGAGAGAATTAGAAAAGGTGGCAAGATCCAGTGCCTAAAATTCATTTAAAATTTTAAGGTGAGAAATGTTTTTTAAATGCACAAAAGTGGCTTTTGTGATACCATTTTCTTTCTGCGTGACATCTGATCTATTGGGAGGAGGGGGCAAGGACAGCTCGCTGTGCCGGCTTCTGCAAGTCAGGTCTGCGAAAATTCATTTAAAATTTTAAGGTGAGAAATGTTTTTTAAATGCACAAAAGTGGCTTTTGTGATACCATTTTCTTTCTGCGTGACATCTGATCTATTGGGAGGAGGGGGGCAAGGACAGCTCGCTGTGCTGGCTTCTGCAAGTTAGGTCTGCGGAAACCAGCGCATGTGTTGAAAGCAGCCCGCTACACGTAGATTCACGCCCCAACCCATGCAGGTCACCTTCCGGGGGCTCTAATCTAGGCCGTGCTCACAGCACGTGGCAGCTAACTTGGAGACCCCCGGGAAGCCAGCTCACCCCGCGCCGGGCGGCAGAGGGCGCTGCAGCAGCGGCAGCCTCCGGCCGGGCGCTGCAGTGAGGTGTAGTGTGCCGAGGGGCCGCTAGACGCCGCTGTCCCGGCCGGGCGGCCCCGCCCCCCGTCTCCCATCAACCCCCGCGCCGCCCGCTCGCACTTCCTCTCCCCGCGCGGGGTGGGAGGCAGCAGCAGCTGCTCCAGCTCTTCTCTCTCTTTCTCTCTCTTCCCCTGCCCCCGCCCCCGCAGTCGTCCCACAAGACCTTCAAGATCAAGCGGTACCTGGCCAAGAAGCAGAAGCAGAACCGGCCCATCCCGCAGTGGATCCGCATGAAGACGGGTAACAAGATCAGGTAGGAGGCAACGGGGCTGGGGCAGCTCTGGGGCAAGCAGCGTCCTGCATGGGGAAGCGCCAGGGGACACGATGCCTCCCCCTGGGTGGCCTCGTCCTGCACCCCTGTCGCTGGGAGCGCTGGTGCTGAGGCCGTGCGGAGGCGGGCTTTGCCAGATCGCCGGCGTAGGGGGCACCTCTTTAGGGAGAGCCTCCTGGTGCGCCAGCCTGCAACCAGAGCTGCACGGGACTTGGCTTGCATGCCTAGCTTGCCACGGGTGTTGAGAGCTGGTTGGCAGGTCTGCTCCTCCTGCGGCTGAATGACCCCCTTGCCTCCGTCGCAGATCTTTCCTGCCTCATGCCCCTCAAAAGGGCTTGGCTTCCTGGGGTCCGGTATCCGTGCTCCATGGTTAACCATTGCTATAGCCCGAAGCGAACAGTGCGTGGTACTGAGGGGCTGCTGAAGTAGGGATACAAGGGCAGGATTTGTAGCTCTGAATCTTGTCAGTGGAAGTGATCTCTCTTATTAGACCAACTAGCTATTTGCACCCCCCCCCAAGTATATATATAAAAATAAAATAAAAAAATAAATAAAAACGTGCTCCATGGTTAACCATTGCTATAGCCCGAAGCGAACAGTGCGTGGTACTGAGGGGCTGCTGAAGTAGGGATACAAGGGCAGGATTTGTAGCTCTGAATCTTGTCAGTGGAAGTGATCTCTCTTATTAGACCAACTAGCTATTTGCACCCCCCCCAAGTATATATATAAAAATAATAAATAAAATAAAAAAATAAAAAAAAAACAACAACAGTAAATGTCTAGTTGGTCTAATAAAAGAGATCATCTTTGTCACGAGATTTGATTCCTTCTGCTTCTACCAACACGGCTACAACCTAGATACCTGTTGATGGAAGTGGCTGAGTGCTCGCAAATGAGAGCTAAAGCCTTGCTATGTCAGTAATTGGTGAGTGCTAATTGAGATGCATGACTAAAAACAAGTGAAAACCTAGTTGATCCATTTGGTGCGTGTTTCTCCCTCACTGGCCTGGCCCGGTGCTGCAGGTGCATCTTTGCAGCCCCAGTGTGGATGCAGATCTGTATTCGGACCTTTGTGTGGTGGGGGAAGGCCCTGCTGTTAATCTTTAAGCCAGGTGCAGAAGTGAGCTCTGGGGTTTTGGCCTCCCATCCCTGATCAGCAGCCAGGAGCTTTGCCAAGGAGATGGGTGCATCTTAAGACCACTTGTTACTCCAGACAGGCAGAGGGTGAAATGGATGGTTCAGGAGACACTGGGGAGCTGTCAGGTTAAACAAGGGATGGGTAACCCATGGCACAAATGGCACGCAGCAGATTAGGGAGCGGACAGGCAGCACGGTGGTAGATAGGGCAGGAGCAAAAAGCAGAGCAGCAGTTGGGGTAGGGGAGGGTGCAGGGCTAGTTTCTGCCAAGTGTGCTACAAAAGTAGGCCCCCACTGAATTAGTCTCTGGTCACTTCCTTTCCTTTTCCTTTTCCTTTCCTTTCCTTTCCGTAGTCCCATTTTACTTGCTTGTCACTGTTAACAAGCTGTAAGTTTAGGCACCTTATCCTGGTAAGGCTGCCCCCAGCCTAGAGGTTAGCTTTGCTTCAGTGAAAAAAAGACTTGCATGGAAGAAAAACAGTCACCATACTACAGCCCTGTGGAGGCCAAACCTGCTCTTGCCAGTTCTGGCTTCTACTGCCAGCATACTTGTTTCCCTCCCTGAGCTGGGATTTGTGATGAAAGCAAGAAGCCAGATGGCTAGGTCAGGTTTGTAGCACTATTGCTAACTTGCTCTGCTTTTAAAAGCCACTCTGTGCTGAACCTCAATATTCCCATTTGTGAAATGGGCAGAGCGGTACCTTGCCACCTGTGGTGTGGGCTGTTCAGGATTACTGTTCCTAACCTGCTTTGTGCTACTTGCTCATAAGTGCAAAATACTTGGTTTGGTCTTCTAGCCCTTGGTGCACCATAATAATTAGTCCCCTGCCCAAAGCATTTGCCAAAGCAGGCTGCAATTACAGTGCTTCATTCTGTGGGA